CACCATCATTACCTAAGAGATTGACTCCTTCAGCTTCCCCCACATCTTCATACCCTGAGAGCTGCTCATCTGGAAGGTCACTCCCTGACACCAGAAGAAGGGTTAAACCCACATTTAATAATAGAACAAGAAATTATTCACTGCAGTTTGATTGTCCTTATTATTAAAGTGATTGCATATAGTTAATTAAACTCACCTTTCTGACAGGCTGGATCTGTCACTTTGGTAAACCTGTAATCTATTTCCTCATAGATGGCGGGAGGCAGCTGTTTATTGTCACTCTCAGCAAGTTCTGTGAAGGATAAACACATGATAAGTATGTAAAAGAAAAAAAAAAATACAGTCAGAGACACATACTGTATATTGCGTAGTCATGAGATTCCTTCTCCAGTAATAAGACTATAGTAGGCTGATATAAAATAAAATCAAGAATAGTGAGACATGAAGGACACACCCTTCAAAGAATCAATTAGCAGAGAACAGATACAGACAAATTACCCATGTTACTAATGGACAAAACTTTTGGCCCAATATATGGTCAACTAGCCAAATTTTTGATACACAAATGAAATCAATATAATGTTATGAATCACTGTCCTACCTCTTGTCAGGACCCAGTTCCTGTAGACCAGTCTAACCACCAGCAGCAGAAGTACTGAGATCAGAAGCCCGAGAACCACTGAGGACACTGTTGGGTCAGACTGGCCTTTTTGCATCTGAGTAACTGTGGGAGGTCCAGTGACATCTGGGGTGATTTCTGTGACACCTACAGGAATGATATTGGTGTTTATTACTGTCAGGTTAAGGGGAAGAATGAGTATTTTAGCCTCATATTTAATAACTACAAAACCACACTATCAGAGAGGATGCAGGAATGTACTTCCTGGCCTCACCTGCACAGGTGACCCCTGCGTCCTGCCTGTGTGAGCAGTCACTCTGCTTCAGTGAGTAAGAGCAGTGCCACAGGTGCAGCTCACTGCCCTTGCAGTTCACCTCATCCAGCCAGATGGCGCCGTCACCCCTCCCGAAGCGTCCGCCCCCTTCTGCCCCGAGAGCCGGCCCACAGCCCAACTGCCTGCACACCACCATGGCGTCACGCAGGTCCCAGGAGTCGTCACACACGGTCCCCCAGGAGCCGCTGTGATACACCTCCACCCTCCCAGAGCAAGTGTCTGTACCCCCTGTCAGTCTCAGGGGCAGACGGTCTAGTGGGGACACAGGAGACAGCTGAGGTTATTTGGAGCGGAACTCAGAGGGGACAGTACATTTAATACATACATCATTTCCCGAATAAAAACATGGTTTTGATGCAATAATCACATCAATCTCCACTTTAATCCTCAGTGTTAATAAAATAGTTACTTTAATTCTCATTCTTTGTATCATTCGTGACTGTATTATATATGGTGTAATAATTCCCTCTATGTTTCAAAGGCTTTTAAAACACATTCATACTATAAATTTGCAAATGAATGAAGCAAGAAACTTACTGGTACAGAAGCTCAGATCAGAAGAAGATCTGCAGAGCATGAAGTCTGATGGAGATTTCAGTGTTTCAACATCTACAATAATCAGCAAGATTGAGAAATGAAACATGGTTCATGGAACTTATTAGCATAGAACAACAAAGAGGCTGAATTTAGCTTCACCTGAGCAGCTTGTTCTGGCAGCTTCTGAGCAGCCATTTGGCCCTTTGGAGGATGATGGACACTGCCAGAGTGATGTGTCATGGGATCGACATTTTCCAAAGTCCAGCCCATTGAGGTCAGGATGAAGCCTGGACATTGTGTAAGTGACTGTCCCCTTGTCTCCACAGCCCAACTGGTGACAAATGACTGCAACTGTTGGTTGTTCCAGACCATCAAAGCACACACTTCCCCAGCTGCCATTGTAATAGACCTCTGTGTGCCCAGAACATCCTTCAGACAATCGCAGCACCTTGTGCTCTGCATGAAGGACACACAAAAAATATGAATTCTTTGTGCTGAGTGTAAAAGGACACAATGCCAATTCGTGTAGAATTGGATCGGCTTTACCTGAACACACAACACCCACATCCTGCTTGTGCCCACAGTCCTTCCTCCCCCACTCCACTGAGGGACAGTCCCACAGGGACGACTCGTTCCCCCCACAGCCCAGCTTGCTTAGCCAGATGGGTCCCGTCCCTGGGCCAAAGTAAGTGGGTACAGGGATCTGCCCACTGAGGGCTGTCCCACAACGGAGCTGCCTGCACACCACCTGAGCCTCGGGCAGACCCCAGGACTCATGGCACACAGTCCCCCAAGAGCCCCTGTGGAAGACCTCCAGCCTCCCTGCACAGTCACTGCCTTCCCCCACCAGCCTGAGGGACCTGTGATCTACCAGAGAAGACAACTATGAATTGCAGGAACAACTATGCAAGAAATACACCATATAACAACATACATCCTATGCAACAAGAGATACAAGTGCAAGTAAACTAATGGTCAGTGACAAATACAAAGTTTCTACAAGAGATCTAAAAAGATTCTTCCTGCTTTGAAAGTCATGTTAAAATTCAGGTCAAAATCTCTACCTCTTGTTTGCTTCCTTTATTGCTAGGAAATTGTTTCGCATTAGGTAAATAAATGGGCTCAAAGCCAAACCCTGTGACGCTCCTAAAATAACGGTTGCCTTCCATTTTAGATGCTCAGTTCTGTACCCTTACATCAACTTGAGGTCTATTTGTCATTAGTCTTTTACAAAACTTGATTTGATTTGGTAATGTTCCAATCCTAATTTCCTGAATTAAATGGTTACAGACTTAGTATTGACTATTATCCAACCTGTTTATACATATGTGAAAAACTGGCATCCCTCCAAAATAGCTGTCACATATACTGCTGGAACAGATCGTGGTGTTGTGGTGAAACTCACTGGAGCAGACCATGGACACCTGGTCACTGGGG